TAGAGTTCGTCACGGCCACGCTAGCTGGAGATTCGTCTGTAAAAACTTGCATTTGTGGTCACAGAGGTGCCTGTGCTAACTTTCCTATTGTGTAGAAATATACCTAGTTGGATAAATCTTATTGTGGCTAGCTGGTCTAGTGGCTAACGCGACGGGCTGGAGTTTTGAGACTCTATGACCGCGGGTTCAATCCCGGCCGGGGGTATGGTTTGGTGAATCTGAACAAGGTGAAGAACTTGGTGAATCTGAACAAGGTGAAGAACTTGGTGAATCTGAACAAGGTGAAGAACTTGGTGAATCTGAACAAGGTGAAGAACTTGGTGAATCTGAACAAGGTGAAGAACTTGGTGAATCTGAACAAGGTGAAGAACTTGGTGAATCTGAACAAGGTGAAGAACTTGGTGAATCTGAACAAAGTGAAGAACTTGGTGAATCTGAACAAGGTGAAGAACTTGGTGAATCTGAACAAGGTGAAGAACTTGGTGAATCTGAACAAGGTGAAGAACTTGGTGAATCTGAACAAGGTGAAGAACTTGGTGAATCTGAACAAGGTGAAGAACTTGGTGAATCTGAACAAGGTGAAGAACTTGGTGAATCTGAACAAGATGAAGAACTTGGTGAATCTGAACAAGGTGAAGAACTTGGTGAATCTGAACAAGGTGAAGAACTTGGTGAATCTGAACAAGGTGAAGAACTTGGTGAATCTGAACAAGGTGAAGAACTTGGTGAATCTGAACAAGGTGAAGAACTTGGTGAATCTGAACAAGGTGGTATTGCGATCATCGAACACAGCATACGTAAGACCAGTACTGAAGAACGCTGTTTCAGCATGGAATGAAACTTGAGGAATGTTCGGAGGTTTGCTCCATGGCTGCGCCCAGAACTTCGGTGGGGGTGTGAAGGTATGACGAGAGAACTGTATCACTGGAACCCAAAACAATAGAAGATTGGAGAACCAGAGACAGACACGAGTATAACATATAAGATACTCCCATACATCTCCAACTCATTCCCATACCCTCATTCCAGTTCATTCACACACCCCTACAACTCATTCCCAAACCCCTGAAACTCATTCCAACACCCCTGAAACTCGTTCTCACACACCTATAACTCACTCTCATGCCTTTACAACTCACTCCTAAACCCCTACAGCTCATGCCCAGATCCCTACAACTGACTCCCACACCCCTACAACTCACTCCCAAACCCCTACAACTCACTCCCTCACCCCTCCAACTCATTCCAACACCCCTACAACTCACTCCATCCTCCATTCAGCTCACTCCCACATCTCTACAACTCATTCCCACACCTCTCCACCTCAGTCAAACACACATCCCTATAACTCACTCTCGTACCTCTCCAACTCATTGCCACACCTCTTCAACTCACAAACACGAGGACTAAAATTTTAAATGAACTAAGTGAGTATAATAAATAGTTTATTAAGAGGAAGGATAGTGAGCAAATGTGTGAAACATTAGGATGTGATGGAGGTCAACTCATTCCACTTTTCTAGTGTAGGTCAACTCATTCCATGGATATTGTGTAGTTCAACTCATCCCACAATGGCTGAGCGTAACTAACATCAGTTAATTAAAAAACCAAAGGAGTGATCCAGAGCTAGAGCTCCACCCTCGCAGACACCTTGTGAATACACTTAAGTGATGATAATTAGGTGAACACACATACACAGACGACAATACGCAAATGACATAGCAGCGAAAGCCAAATCTGACCCGAAGCTGTTGTACAGCCACATCGGGAGGAAAACAAGTCAAGGACCAGGTAATCAGGCTGAGGAAGGAAGGAGGGAAGTTTACAAGAAACCACCGAGAAATATGTGAGGAGCTCAACAAGAGATTCAAAGAAGTGTTCATAAAGGAGACAGAAAGGACTCCAGAAAGACGGAGAGGTGGGGTACGCCATCAATTGTTGGACACAATACATACAACTGAGAAAGAAGTGAAGAAGCTGCTAGGCGAGCTAGATACCTCAAAAGCGATGGGGCTGGATAACATCTCTCCATGGGTCCTGAGAGAGGAAGCAGAGGCACTATGTGTACCACTAATAACGATCTTCAACACATCTATCGAAATAGGGCGACTACTTAAAGTATGGAAGACAGCAAATGTAGTCCCAATTTTTAAACAAGGAGACAGAAACACAGCATTAAACTACAGACCAGTGTCACGACATGCATAGTATGAAAAATCATGGAGAAGGTTATCAGGAGAAGAGTGGTGGAGCACCTAGAAAGGAATGAGCTTAGCAACGATAACCAGCACGGTTTCAGGGACGGGAAATCCTGTGTCACAAACGTACTAGAGTTCCATGACAGAGTAACAGCAGTAAGACAAGAGAGAAAGGAGTGGGTAGATTGCGTTTTCATGGACTGTAAGAAGGTTTTTGACACAGATCCATACAAGAGATTAGTACAAAAGCTGGAGGACAAGGCAGGTATAAAAGGGAAGGCAATGCAATGGATCAGGGAATACCTGTCGGGAAGACATCAGCGAGTCATGACAATTGACGAGGTGTCAGAGTGGGCGCCTTTGACGATCGGGGTTCCACAGGGGTCAGTCATAAGACCGGTGCTGTTTCTGGATTATGTAAACGACATGAAGGAAGGAACAGACTCATAAGTGTCCATGCTTGCAGATGATGTGAAGTTAATGAGAAGAATTCAATCGGACGAGGACCAGGCAGGCCTACAAAGAAATTTGGACAGGCTGTAGGCCTGGTCCAGAAATTGGCTTCTGGAGTTCAACCCCACCAAGTGCAAAGTCATGAAGATTGCGGAAGGGCAAAAAAAGACCGCAGATGGAGTGCAGTCTTGGGGGCCAGAGACTATAAACCTCACTCAAGGAAAAGGATCTTGGGGTGAGTATAACACCAGGCACATCTCCTGAGGCGCACATCGACCAAATAACTGCTGCAGCATATGGGCGCCTAGCAAACCTAAGAATAGCATTCCGACATCTCAATAAGGAATCGTTCAGAACCCTGTACACCGTATACGTCAGGCCTATATTGGAGTATGCAACACCAGTTTGGAACCCACACCTAGCCAAGCACGTAAGGAAATTCTAGAAAGTGCAATGGTTTGCAACAAGACTAGTTCTGTAGGTAAGGGGCTTGTCCTACGGAACAGGTTAAAGGGAATCGACCTGACGACACCAGAGAACAGGAGAGATAGGGAAGATATGATAACGACTTATATAATACTGAGAGAAATCGACAAGGTGAACAGAGACAGGATGTTCCAGAGATGGGACACAGCAACAAGGGGTCACAATTGGAAATTGAAGACTCAGATGAGTTACAGGGATGTTGGGAAGTATTTCTTCAGTAACAGAGTTGTCAGGAAGTGGAATAGTCTGGGAAGTGATGTAGTGGAGGCAGGATCCATACGTAGCTTGAAGAAGAGGTATGATAAAGCTCGGGAAGCAGGAAGAGTGACCTAATAGCGACCAGTGGAGAGGCGGGCCCAGGAGCTGCGACTCGACCCCTGCAACCACAACTAGGTGAGTACACACACACACATACACACACACACACACACAAGAGGAAGTGCTTATCTTGTCTTATCAAGAGCCACGTGCCAAGACGCCAGAGATAAGAGAAAAACATGGAACTTGAGCAAGGCAAAGAGAACAGACAGGAAGACAGGAAGAGAAAATGAGGTGAAGAAGTAAACTCCTGAGGAGAGAAGAGACAAGGCAGACAGAGATAATGAGAGACGGGAGATGAAAAGGGATGACGAGAAGAGATAGAGACAAGGAGAAGAGATTAATGTTCGGTAAAATGGGTGAGATGAAAATGGTAGTGCAAAGATAAAGAAAAGGAGGGAAGAGGAGAAAATAAGAAGTATGGAGAAAAGGTAGAGGATTGAGGCAGAAACCGAGGAAGAGCAGTGAGGAGGTAGAGAAGAAAGGAGGGAAAGGTAGAGAATAAATGGTAGGAGGTTAGATGGAGTAGAGACGATATAGAGTAGAGGAGGTTGAGGCGGAGGTAGAGGAGGTGGAAGAAGGTAGAGGAGGTTGACTGAGTGATGGGATAGGTGAGGAGGTTGAGGGAGAAGGAAGGTAGAAGAGGCAGAGGTGAGGTGAGATGGAGAAAGGAGAGAGTGAGGTGGAGGAGAGTGGAGGTTGAGGTGGAGGTAGAGGGAATGGAGATAGAGGTAGAGGAGGTTGAGGTGGAGGTTGAGGGAATGGAGATAGAGGTAGAGGAGGTTAAGGTGGAGGTAGAGAGGCTGTCAAACAAGTGCATCATCTGACCCTTAATAATCTGAGTTATGAAGTCTGACGGGCAGGTGCATCATCTGAGCCTTAATTATCTGAGTGATGATTTCTGAGAGACAGGAATATCATTTAAGCCTTAATGATCTGAATGGTGGAGGCTGACAGACAGGTGCATCATCAGAGACTTAATTATCTGAGCGGTGGAGGCTGACACACAGGAACATAATCTGAGCCTCAGTTATCTGAGTGGTGGAGGCTGACAGACAGGTGCATCCCCCGAACACAGACTGGAACACCTCACATTAGATATAAACAGAGACTTGCGAAATAAATATGAAAGTATACATCGATTTAAGCTCTATTATAAACATTATATATGTTTATTATATTAAAACGATGTTTTAAAAACAAGGGGGACACATAAAATATGCTCGTGTTTCTTTATATAAATTATTCACATTAAATTAAATATATACAGATTAGCAGTACCTTAATAATAAAAATAATATAAATTTGTACGTTAAGGCCCATAAGTATTAAATATTAGACTGAATTTAAATACTGCTGTCTACAACAACAACGTTTGTGAGGCTCAATAAAACCAGACAATTAGTTTCCATGATATAAAAAGGATAACACAGTCCTCCCCCCTGAAAAAAAAAATTGAAATATGAAAAGATAAAGCGAACAACATTCTGCTACAAGAGAGGAAGAAACTGTCTTGTCATAGGTAACCCCACCAGCGTAACCAACCTTTGTTTACAAAGCATTGAAGCTGGATCAGCCCGTCGTGGTTCCTCATACACGGTTTCACTCTGTAGGAAAAGAGAAACAGACTGTATGTACGCAAGAATTGTGTTCAGAAGTGCTCAAAACCAGTGTTTGTAATACAACGGCACTGTCCTCTGATTTCTGTACGTTTGTGAGAGAGCAAGACTTCCTCTCTCTCTCTCTTACTTGTGTAAAATGTTTGAGAAATTACTTTTGGGCTAGAAGAAAAGGTCATTAGAGGCAGCAATAGTTTATTCCATACCTCACCGTGTTCACACGTCTTCGCTTAATCAGCTTCTTTCTCCTCATTGCTCTCACTGAAGAGGAATAAATAACTGCGTTTTGGTGTTCCTTTCAAATGACTTGATGAAGCTGGTCCCGAGTTATGCGTTGTCAGGAATAAAGTCTTGGTCTGGTGTGGTGTCTCTTCACTTCGCATCATCGTCGGGGTGTCGAATCGAAAGACATGGTACACTTTTCAAAGTCTGTTTGTATAACCATTCCTCGAGAACCTTACATGAGGTGTATATATATATACATATATATATATATATAATATATATATATATATAATATATATATATATATATATATATATATATATATATGTGTGTGTGAAACAAGTGATTTTATATCATTTACCAAACTGCGGCAGGCCAGGACTCGACCCTACGAACCTTGTACGGCCTCCAGAGACAACACAATGTACGCATCACCTTACCAATACGCCACTGGTGATGCGTGCATTGTGCTGTCTCTGGAGGCAGTACAAGGTTCGTAGGGTCGAGTCCTGGCCTGCCGTAGTTTGGTAAATGATTTAAAATCACTTGTTTCGTGATTTCATTGCTATATATATATATATATATATATATATATATATATATATATATATATATTTTATATATATATATATATATATATATATATATATATATATATATATATGCATACATATATATATATGTATATATATATATATATATAATATATATATATATATATATATATATATATATATATATATATATATATATATATGTCGTGCCGAATATGTAAAACTGGTCAATTAGCAAGAACTCATTTAAAATTAAGTCCTTTCTGAAATTTTATTTTATACGTTTAAAGATATATATTTTTCATTAATGTTAATGTAAAAAAATTTAATTTTTCACCAAAAGAATCTTAGAAAACTTACCTAACCTTATTATAACAAGAACAATTTATTTTAGCCTAACCCAACTAAATATATTTTAGATTTGTTTACAGTAATTTAATACTGATCAAACACAGTGAAATATATTTTTTTCGTTAGGTTCAGAATGATTTTGGCGAAATTATTGCATACACAAATTTTCACTTGTCCTATATGGCAAGATGAGCGTTGCTATTTAAGCCAAGATCGCAAGTTCTGCCTATTCGGCAGATAAGATAACAGGGATATCTTGCTACTCCTACTAACACTTTGGTCACACTTCACAGACACGCACATGCATATATATATATACATACATCTAGGTTTTTCTCCTTTTTCTAAATAGCTCTTGTTCTTTTTATTTCTTCTATTGTCCATGGGGAAGTGGAAAAGAATCTTTCCTCCGTAAGCCATGCGTGTCGTATGAGGCGACTAAAATGCCGGGAGCAATGGGCTAGTAACCCCTTCTCCTGTATACAATTACTAAAAAAGAGAAGAAGAAAAACTTTATAAAACTGGGTTGCTTAAATGTGCGTGGATGTAGTGCGGATGACAAGAAACAGATGATTGCTGATGTTATGAATGAAAAGAAGTTGGATGTCCTGGCCCTAAGCGAAACAAAGCTGAAGGGGGTAGGAGAGTTTCAGTGGGGGGAAATAAATGGGATTAAATCTGGAGTATCTGAGAGAGTTAGAGCAAAGGAAGGGGTAGCAGTAATGTTAAATGATCAGTTATGGAAGGAGAAAAGAGAATATGAATGTGTTTAAATTCAAGAATTATGTGGATTAAAGTAAAGGTTGGATGCGAGAAGTGGGTCATAATAAGCGTGTATGCACCTGGAGAAGAGAGGAATGCAGAGGAGAGAGAGAGATTTTGGGAGATGTTAAGTGAATGTATAGGAGCCTTTGAACCAAGTGAGAGAGTAATTGTGGTAGGGGACTTGAATGCTAAAGTAGGAGAAACTTTTAGAGAGGGTGTGGTAGGTAAGTTTGGGGTGCCAGGTGTAAATGATAATGGGAGCCCTTTGATTGAACTTTGTATAGAAAGGGGTTTAGTTATAGGTAATACATATTTTAAGAAAAAGAGGATAAATAAGTATACACGATATGATGTAGGGCGAAATGACAGTAGTTTGTTGGATTATGTATTGGTAGATAAAAGACTGTTGAGTAGACTTCAGGATGTACATGTTTTAGAGGGGCCACAGATATATCAGATCACTTTCTAGTTGTACTACACTGAGAGTAAAAGGTAGATGGGATACAAGGAGAATAGAAGCATCAGGGAAGAGAGAGGTGAAGGTTTATAAACTAAAAGAGGAGGCAGTTAGGGTAAGATATAAACAGCTATTGGAGGATAGATGGGCTAATGAGAGCATAGGCAATGGGGTCGAAGAGGTATGGGGTAGGTTTAAAAATGTAGTGTTAGAGTGTTCAGCAGAAGTTTGTGGTTACAGGAAAGTGGGTGCAGGAGGGAAGAGGAGCGATTACCTGGAGTTTACCTGGAGAGAGTTTCGGGGGTCAACGCCCCCGCGGCCCGGTCTGTGACCAGGCCTCCTGGTGGATCAGCGCCTGATCAACCAGGCTGTTGCTGCTGGCTGCACGCAAACCAACGTACGAGCCACAGCCCGGCTGATCAGGAACTGACTTTAGTTGCTTGTCCAGTGCCAGCTTGAAGACTGCCAGGGGTCTGTTGGTAATCCCCCTTATGTGTGCTGGGAGGCAGTTGAACAGTCTCGGGCCCCTGACACTTATTGTATGGTCTCTTAACGTGCTAGTGACACCCCTGCTTTTCATTGGGGGGATGGTGCATCGTCTGCCAAGTCTTTTGCTTTCGTAGTGAGTGATTTTCGTGTGCAAGTTTGGTACTAGTCCCTCTAGGATTTTCCAGGTGTATATAATCATGTATCTCTCCCTCCTGCGTTCCAGGGAATACAGGTTTAGAAACCTCAAGCGCTCCCAGTAATTGAGGTGTTTTATCTCCGTTATGCGCGCCGTGAAAGTTCTCTGTACATTTTCCTAGGTCGGCAATTTCACCTGCCTTGAAAGGTGCTGTTAGAGTGCAGCAATATTCCAGCCTAGATAGAACAAGTGACCTGAAGAGTGTCATCATGGGCTTGGCCTCCCTAGTTTTGAAGGTTCTCATTATCCATCCTGTCATTTTTCTAGCAGATGCGATTGATACAATGTTATGGTCCTTGAAGGGAGATCCTCCGACATAATCACTCCTAGGTCTTTGACGTTGGTGTTTCGCTCTATTTGTGGCCAGAATTTTTTGTACTCTGATGAAGATTTAATTTCCTCATGTTTACCATATCTGAGTAATTGAAATTTCTCATCGTTGAACTTCATATTGTTTTCTGCAGCCCACTGAAAGATTTGGTTGATGTCCGCCTGGAGCCTTTCATGTCTGCAATGGAAGCACTGTCATGCAGATTCGGGTGTCATCTGCAAAGGAAGACACGGTGCTGTGGCTGACATTCTTGTCTATGTCGGATTGAGGATGAGGAACAAGATGGGAGCCAGTACTTTTGCCTTGTGGGACAGAGCTTTTCACCGTAGCTGCCTCGGGACTTTACTCTTTGACGACTACTCTCTGTTGTTCTCGTTATGAGGAAATTATAGATCCATCGACCGATTTTCCTGTTATTCCTTTAGCGCGCTTTTTTGTGCGCTATTACCGCCATGGTAACACTTGTCGAAGGCTTTTGCAAAGTCTGTATATATTACATCTGCATTCTTTTGTCTTTAGTGCATTTAGGACCTTGTCCGTAGTGATCCCTAGTTGAGACAGACAGGAGAGCGACCTGTCTAAACCCATGTGCCCTGGGTTGTGTAACTGATGGTTTCTAGATGGGTGGTGATCTTGCTCTCTTAGGACCCTTTCAAAGATTTTTATATATAATGTTAGTGCTATTGTTCTGTAGTTCTTTGCTGTAGCTTTAACTGCCTCTTTGTGGATGGGCTATGTCTGTTGTTTTTAGTAAACTGAGGGACACCCGTGTCCATGCTCCTCTCCTAGGATGGAAAAGGCTCGTGATAGGGGCTTCTTGCAGGTTCTTGATGAACACAGAGTTCCTTGAGTCTGGCCCTGGGCAGAGTCATGGGCATGTCATTTTAAATCGCCTGTTCGAAGTCATTTGGCGTCAGGATAACATCGATAGGCTTGTGTTAGTCAAATTTTGTGGCTCTCTCATAAAAAATTCATTTTGGTCTTCGCATCTCAGTCTGGATTAGCGCTTGCTAAAAACTGAGTCATATTGGGACTTGAGAGCTCACTATTTCCTTGCTGTCTCCGTGTAGGACCCATCTGTTTAAGTAGGGGCCCAATAACTGGACGTTGTTCTCGATTTTGATTTGGCATAGGAGAAGAAATACTTTGGGTTTTTCGATTTCAATTTAGGCTTTTAGTTCTTGGTGGGGGAATGATGATGTTAAAGAGAGTAGTAAGGGAGAAAAAGTTAGCATATGAGAAGTTTTTTACAAAGTAGAAGTGATGCAAGGAGGAAGAGTATATGGAGAAAAAGAGAGAGGTTAAGAGAGTGGTGAAGCAATGTAAAAAGAGAGCAAATGAGAGAGTGGGTGAGATGTTATCAACAAATTTTGTTGAAATAAGAAAAAGTTTTGGAGTGAGATTAACAAGTTAAGAAAGCCTAGAGAACAAATGGATTTGTCAGTTAAAAATAGGAGAGGAGAGTTATTAAATGGAGAGTTAGAGGTATTGGGAAGATGGAAGGAATATTTGAGGAATTGTTAAATGTTGATGAAGATAGGGAAGCTGTGATTTCGTGTATAGGGCAAGGAGGAATAACATCTTGTAGGAGTGAGGAAGAGCCAGTTGTGAGTGTGGGGG